AATAAGAGGTGGGACAGTTGAATCCGTTTTCGGTACAAATCGATGCAAAAAATATCATAGATGGATGGAAAAAATCAAAACAGAAAGAGGACTGATGCCCCCTCCCCCAGCACCACCACCACCTTCACATGTTTGTGGCGGTGGTGTGTACAACGATGGACCCCTTATTAGCTTGTTCCATGATAAGAAGTACTACTCCAATCACGGCTGAGAGAGAGGAAGTGGGGCCCACCCCCCACGCGTGGCACTGTTATCACCCACCTCCCATATTCATGGTGTTTGACATGTCTAATTACACAAAGATAATAAATGTTAGTTGTGAATCCTACGAAGCCACAAATGTCGGGTTCGTATGCCTCTGATTCGATCTTCTCTGTCGGAGTAGCCATGTTTCTACCCCTTTGCAGACAATGCACAAGATATCAGGTCCACTCTCCCAGCTCTCATCTCATGTCCTCGAATGTGACAGTAAACTACAGATAGTAAATAAGGCAATTCTCGACCTCTTAGCAGCTTGGTTTGATTCTGGCTAATGTAGAGAAGGAGCCAGGGTGAGGGGGGCAAGGGGGGGGGGCATTTCCCCCCTCCCCCTCCCCCAACATGTTTGATAAAATTATTCATATACCCTACAAATTTACATACTCCCTCCGTCCGAAAAAGCTTGTCCAGGTTGGGACAAGCTTTTTCGGGTGGAGGGAGTATAAAATAGAAAAAAAACTACTTGGTCCCTGGAGCTTAATAATTGATGCTTGGCCCCTTTATTTGGTTCCTGACTCTGCCCTTTGGCAAATATATCTATGTAGGTTCTCTGAGAATGTTGCCAGAAATCCATCGATGATTAATAGATTTCTTGTATTCTGCCTCCATAAAATTTTCCACCCTACTTTCTTGACGAGTATAAGGTCTCCTTCGGCTCATAGGAAGGAATAGCACAAGAACAGAAAACTTATAGGAAGGGGATGATATGTATCTCAAGTTATATAGGAGCCATTGTTTTTTCTTTTTGAAATAATTTGGTTCATATGATGTGATTTTTTTCCCACTAGGTCTGAACTGATGTTTTTCCCTTTGAAATGTTAAGGATAGGAACCAATTTTGTACTCCCGTCTTCCCATAATATAGTGCACACTGCTTTTCGTGGAGTCAATCTTCATAAATTTTGACTAGAGTTATTGAGAAAATTATCTATGCCTATATTACGAAACTAATATCATATGAAAATATTTTTCATTGTGAATCTAATGGTATTGATTTGGTATTCTAGATGTTGATAGATTTTACTATAAACTTAGTCAAAATTTATATGGGTTGACTTTGAATTTTTTTTTTGATACGCACTATATGTCAGGACAGAGAGGAGTATAAAAATATGGTTCCATTCCTACAAACCTATTAACTGTGCCTACTACCAACGGATCTTCCGCGGATTCAAGAAACTAGTAGGCAGAATTCTAGTGTAACTTAGCGGTGTTGTTTTAGCCAATTACTAAGCTTTTGCGGATTCAAGAAACTATGCACCCATCGTGAAGCCCGTGTGCATAGCTGCGTTGTTTTTCTCATGTAAGGAAAGAAGGCTATGGGTAAGTGAGCTGGCAATCGAAATGTGCAAGCCAATGTAACTTAGCTATATATGTCTTAATTCTTCACCCATGGTTACAAACCTTAGCTATATATCTTAGATGTTCCAGACAAAATTGTTCTTACCAAGATAGTCAGAGTTTGAAAATCACCCAGTGCAACCAAAAGTTGTACATGAAGCTTCCTCCGAACCGAAGGAAAATTGCTCGAGCACACATTTTAAAGATCACATTTTACAGATAATACCCCATCCTGCAAAAGATGGAATTTTGTATTAGCGAACAAAGCAAGATACACAAGAAGGAAAAACAACAGAAAAAGTGAATTAAAAAATAGAAAGGATAAAATGGTTAATCTTTATAAAAAAGGTCCACTCTTTTAGGTTCAATGTTGGCAGCACAGTCAAAAACCAACAATGCCATTGTTTTCTGTAATGCATACAAATTTTAGTTCACAAAACAGCAAAAAAAAACACAGAATGGAAATACTTTAGACAACCCTGAAATTACATACCCTGAAAAATCAGTACTTCTGTCTGTTGTTTTACTGACATGTAATTTACCTTGAGCC